ATCATATCAATAATAATCATCATGACCATCCAAATATCACTCTTTCCAATAAAATTCAACCAAGTAATAGTTGAAGAATATTCATTCGAAAAATCCAGCACCGAATTAAATTCCTTCTCACCCTGTGCAGTCTCCATATATAATGCTCTATGAACAAGTACTCCAATCATGATCTTTTCCATCAAACTCGACAAGACGAAAAGTCCAAACAAGAGATTGACCCAGAGTGCTCTCTTATCAAATCTCCAAAATAATTTAACAAAGGCCACAACTATAAACAAGGCTACTCCTTGATACATTATATGATGATACCTTCCTTCTTCTCCCATTTGATGAAGTAAACTCCAAACCTTCTCCGATGACATCCATCCCCATCCAAATCTCGTTCCCAACGTTAAATGTATCCACGATGATTCATATATTTGTACATAATGATAGAAAGCATATGGAAGGGAGAGAATTAAACCAAGAAACCAATAAAACAAGGAATTTGATCTTAAATTGGTTAAAATTGATTTCTTATTGTTGTATTTTACATATCCACTCGATGATGATGATGATGTAGCCGAGAATAATTTATTGGATGATGCAAAAGTTGAAGTGGAAGGCAAGGTTGTCGGTAACATTTGTAATTCGAATATTTTTTAAATCAAAAAAAATAATAATATAAAATATTATTTTTTATTCCGTGATGAAAATCAAATTAGGAAAGGGGAATAATTTCCATCATTTCAAAGAAAAAAAAAAGCGCCAACTAAGCAAAATAATTATTGGCTTTGAAAAAGTCCGGCTAAAAGTGATACAAGAATACTCATAGATTAGTTGAATCCAATCATCATCATGATCAGTTTATTTATTGCTGCCTTGTTCGGATCAAATAGCAGAAATTTAGATAAAACTTCCAATCAACAATTATTTGGCTATGAACAACAACAACAACAACCAGTAAATCATCATCATCCTCCTCATCAACAACAACAGCCTCCACAACAACCACAACAACAATATTATGTAAATAATCCGCAGCCTCTACCACCAAATTATCAACCTTCAATTCCGCCACCCAATCATAGAAATTCAATCATTAGTAATAATAATAATATTAATAATAATATTAATTATCATCTACAACAACAACCAGTAAATCAACAGCCTCCTCCTTCTTCTACCTCTAATTCCTTCAAAGTTAATAATAATAATTATCCTAATGTAATAACAACAACATATCCGCCACAACAACAACAAGCAAATACTACTGGTTATCCACAATCACAAATTGTAGATCACAATCA